TATTTTGTTGATGCTATTTTGTCAAAATTGATGGCTAAAGAAACTAGAAGAGGCATCCTCAATCAATCTAAAATAGAGGATGATACTATTTTAATAGCTATTATACATTTGAAAAATTTTATCTCTAATTCATTTGGCTCATATCAATGAAATGATTTTTCTAAGATTGAATGTTACTGTTGTCACAAGTTGGGATATACAAAGCATAATTGCATAGAATTGAAAAAGAAATTTGGCTTGTGTAAAATGGAGCGAGTTATTGCTATGACGTCGTCTATAGAAACTTTTAATGTTAACTGTTACTCCATTACAGATCAAACTCAAGAGATTATTTGATAAATTATTTCCAGTATAAGCAACAACTCTATGGGTAACCTACATCTGCATTGGCAACTATTCCAGGTACTAATTCTAAGGATTGGATCATTTATTTTGGAGCTTTAATCATATGACGTTTGATAACTATATATTTAATTTTTCAAGTCTTATTACTTGTTCACCTTCTATTCATATTACTAATGGTTCGAATATGTCTACTACTCATATTAGCTCTGTTTTATGTTCTCAAAATGTTTCTTTTGATAATGTTCTTTTGGTTCCATCACTTTCCATGAATTTGCTATATGTTGGTCAATTATGCGATCAAGGTCTTAATGTCATTTTTCACTCTCGTGGTTGTGTGGTACAGGATTACTTATGTAGACACCCTATTTTATCCAGGGTTTAAAATTTATTTTATTTTATTTATTGTTTATTTATCTTTTCGATAAAAAAATAGTAGAGACTTGGTTGAAAAAAGATTAATCGGTTGGATAAAAAGTTTTTTTAAAAAATAAAATTCAGTTTTAATCTAAATATCAGATAAACTCCTTAAAGAGTTTAATCATAGTTGAAACATTGTCTGAACTTGGATTCTCATCTATAAATTGGTTCCAATATACACAAAAAATAACAGCATATAAAAAATTAGACAATTTTCCACTTTTACCACCATCTTCACTCAATTTTTCACACTAATCCACCAAGCTATTACTCCATCACCAAAATAGCCCATTGCTATCTAATACCCAACCCAAGCCTCCCCTATTACCACCATAAACCCATACATAAACAACCATTTAAGAGCAAGCAATATCAGCAATAAGAATCATACACAAAAATCAGTAAAAAAAAATACAAAAATAGTTAAGAAGTAAGTAGGAAAATTTTGAAAGGAATACAATGTTTCTGTCAGAGATTTTTGGGAAGCTTTTGTGTAATTGTGAGTTTGACTAGGTTGAAAGAAGAATTTGAAGGGTTGAAGGGTGAAATTAACGTTTTTATTTTTAATTTTTTAGAATTTCTAGGGAATCCTAGAAATTTTTAGAATCCGGTTGAAGATTCCAAATGAAGATTAAATTTTTTGATGGTATTCCAACAAAAAATTTAAAAATCGACGAAGGTATCCAGTTTTCAGCAACCAATTCTAGAAATTGGTGAATGTTCATCCAGTTGTTCATAGGTTATAGAAAGAGAGGGAAAGAGAAAAAAAAGTAGAAAGAAAGTGTAGAAGGATTCTAAGGGAGAATAAACAAATTTTAGGATTTTATATCACTTAGAAATGATGTCATTTGAAGGTTTATTAACTTGGTCGACCTGCGCATTTTACCACTTACGAGTCCAACTCAGTCATGACCTGGATTGTTATTCAATTCCTCCACACACCTGTGAGTCGAGCTGAGCTCAGCTCTTTTGTTCCAATATGAAATGCACTACCAGTCGTTTAAGCCACTCTTTTGTTCCTGCAGCCTAATCTATTAAGCTGCTAAAGCCAAGTCGATTTCCTTTTATTTGGTATTTCATTTAGTTTTTATTTATTTGTTTTTTATTTATGGTTTTATTTGTTTATTTATTTATTTCGAATCACAAGTGGTGGATCTTTTTACAAAGTCTCTTTCAAGTTCACGTTTTTGTTATTTAGTTTTCAAACTCCACATGTTTCATTTCGAATCATCTTCAGTTTGAGGGGCTGTTAAAATGTATATTATGTTTAATTGACTTATAAGGTTAGGTTTTTTTTTTTTTTTTAAGATATCTCATAGGCTTTAAACTTATTTATGCATTTGTATATATATGTATTTTACAACCCTAGAAATAATATTATTTTTCACTCTTCAAGTCATCATTTTAATCAGCAGACACCATAAATTTCGTTAAAATTCTAAGATATATAAGCTAATTGAAGGTTTAAATCGAGAGATGCTTTTTTGTATTTATAATATTTATTTATGTGAAAAGTTAAAAATTAAGCACCAATATTTTAAATTAGTAGGAGACTGTTGGTAGTTTAAAATGTAATGTATTTCATATTGGATAGAAATATTTAATTATTGATTAATAAAATTATTTTTTATATTAATTTTATTCATATTTTAGATAATTATATTTGAATAGAAACAGTCATAACTATTTGAATATAAATAGATTATTATTTATAACGGTAATGATTATACAAAAAGTCATAATCATTTGAATAAAATTTATATTTATTTATTTATTATAAATAAATTTTTTAGTATAATTATTTTTATTATTTTTGCGACATAATTGCTTTTTAAAAATATTCTTTTATCCTTTAAAATAAAAAATTTTATTATTATTTTTATTCTTATTTACTTTTTCTAGCACACCATGACACATGACTCGGAGGAGAAGAATATTTCGAAGGTTGATTACTCAACAGAATATAGGGCCCATGTACATCCTACGTGAAATTAATGCATTACCCCTAACATAGTTGGTGATTTTCAACAAATTTTAGCCGTAGCTTTCACGTTTTATGTTTCCTTGCGTATGCCGCCAATTTTTACGAAGGGGAAAAGGATAACTGTTCCACCAAAAAAAGGACAAAAGTGGCCAAGTGGGTGAGGAAGACTTCCGCTTGTCCCAGTGAAGTTGGTTTATGTTTAATAAATCTTGTCTAAGTATAGATAGCTTCCCCTTTTATCTAATGAATGCAAAAATGTTTGGCAACTTTCCCTTTCAAGTACCTTCTATAGCCATTCGACCTGGTTTGTGGCATGTTGAAGTTCTAAGCAACCAAGAATGTGTGCCCCCATTCTCTCAACCCTAATAACATAAATCAATGGAATCGTACAGTGAGGGATGGGCAAACTGTTGTTTGGCCTTAATTTTGCCATAGCGTATGACATATATCATGAAACTACTCTTACCAAGTTTGCTGAGTAGAAACTACCAGCACCAGGTGTGTTGAGAAATAACCAATGGAATAGCCTCATAAATTGGGTAACGAAAATAAGCTGGGGGCTCAGCCAGCAGGATGTTCCATTCCAATATTAAATCAGTTTTTGTCTTGGGATATTATTTTTCAAACTGAACCGGATTAAAAACTATACATCAGAACTCGTGACTCATGATGAACAATATGGCTAGTAACAGAGATGAGTGGCAGCGTGTCGAATAAAAGTTTCTTAATTATCTTCATTTAATTTAATGATGACATTTCAACTCTAATGGCTCAGGCAGTCTATTTTAGAGGTTAGAGCTTGTTAGCTAGGACAATCCTAATGGCCTTGCTCATAAAAAACTTGGCAGTTGCCAGAGTTGAAAAGATGGCACGCTAACCATGTAGTTGGCAGTTCGCTATCACTGGCCTAATTGCTACAGCGCTTATGGAAGAGGTTGATCCTTCTGAAATGCGGCTAGTGACTTTAATCACACTGATCAATGTTGTTGTAACTTTTATGGTTGAACATCAATCTATGTGAATCTAATGATATTCTTTTATATAAATAAGCGGGTTCTCGAGCGTATCTAAAGTAACAAACCCAGTTCCAGTTGCAGGGAAACAGAGAGAGGGAAAATGGAGCATTTGCAATGTCATTTGACGTGCTTAAGCAGGGACCTCCTAGCAGATATCTTGGTTCGAGTAGATGGTTCAACCCTGGCCTCAGTTACCTGTACCTGTTCTGACCTCCAAGGTATAGCTCGAGACCAGAGCTTATGGAAACAGTTGTGTCACTCGACATGGCCTTCTACTGCACTCGAGGAAGCCCAACACCTCATTTCGTTATCGGCGATGGATGGTTTTGACAGATTCTATGCTGATTCTTATCCTCTTATTTTGCATGGCAAAGATGCCAATGACTTTCCTATGCAAACCCACATCTCCCCGTCCAATTTTGCTTCATTTGTAGATGTCTACTATAGTGATAAATGCATTCTGTCCAGTGTTTTAGATGGCATAACAAGGGCAGCTGATGTTGATGAAGATAGTGAGACAACTGACCTTATGAGATGGTTATTGAACTGTCCATTCAAACTGGTTCTCTTGAATGTTGATCATGATGAAGGCACTGGAGATGGTAATGAACTCCGGTCTGCCAATGACGCATATGGTTATAATCATATAATAGCTCGCTCCTTCATGTCCCTTGAGCAGATGGGCAAATCACCAGATCACTGCAATAAGCTGGTCGAGGGCCTTAAATTAAGTTGGGTGCTGTTGGACAAGAAGAGAGGGAGGGCAGTGAATCTCTCAAGCTGGAAACCACTGTTAGCGAAGAAGATCTGGGCCACTGATGGTGATTATGTTATACATTTTGGGTGCATTGTACCTGTACAGGAGAGCGTACTGCCTCACAAGCTAGCCAAGTGCCTTATATTGGCGAAATGCAACATAGCGGAAGAAGAAGGGTATCTGAGATGGAAGGAGATAAGCATGCACTTTGAGGACAATACAGGAGCATATATAGACGGAGGCAAGAGTTTAAGCATTATGAATCAGGCTCTATATTGCTTACGAAGTAATAACCGCCTCGTGGTTGAAAAGGGCCATCAACAATTTGAGGGGCGAAAGCAAGAGATGATAAGGAAAAAGAAGCTCAAAGAAACAATAGCTGATTGGCTTTTTCTATCTATTGAACTTGCAATCTTCATAACTTTTGGGGTACTATATTTTACCCGTTTAGCATTCTAACACCCAATCAAGGCTTGAATTCTCGTTGCTGGGGCAGCTCAAATATCATTATGGTCAAAAAGAACAACTTAAGGAACATACAATAAGCTTAGGGTAGTAACCATGTAAATTGCCAGAGGTCAGAGGTTGGCATGAGTGACAAATACAAATTCAAAAATTTATGTGGAGTACAATGTCCCCAGGATAAATTCAGAAATGTGATAGCAAAATTAAGTACAAAATTCACTCATCCTCGAATTCTAGATTTGTCCAAATTTTGGAATAAGCTTACTTATTCTTCAAGAACAATTTTCCGGTTTCAAATTTCAGCGTGATGCACTGAAAAGAGCTTTGCCAACAATACCCGTGGCCTCAATATAGCGATCCACACATCTAGAGATGCAACTACTCTCGCTTCCACTCAGACTTGATCCTGGCTTTGTGATACACTTGTCAAAGCACTTCCCCCTCACAGTCTGTATGACAAGTAAATAACAATTGAGAGATAGCTAAAGTAGAGATTTATGCATTTAGCCCCATATAGCACCACAAAAGCATGATGAAATTTCTGCCACTGCAACCAAATAACAGACACCCCACTCCCCAACTCCCATTCTCAGAAAGTCAACATTTAGCAAGCAACAGCCAAGCCTAAAGGTGAGATGTCCATTGACTAGTTGCATTATGTTAATATAAAAGAACTAAAGAACTTGAATCAGGCAAAATATCTAAGCATATAAGAAAACATACAAATAAGCTAAGAACTATTAACAAATCTTCTTCAAACCATGTTAATCAGTGACAACTTAAGTCAACAAACTTCTATCATGTGCGCTTAGTAGAACAAACAAAACACAAAAGAAGAATATCCATAGCAGGAGTATAGTTTATTAGGCATTCCAAATTGTAAATGTTGCAAAAAAAAAGATTTTCTAGCATTAACATTTATAATATCCTCCTGAACCTTTGAGACCTACCAAGTCAAATGACGTTGATGGGTTTAAGCAACTTAAAGCAATTTAAGAATTGTGGCTGCTTGTCAGTGTGTTGATGCCATCTAAACAACAGGAAACTATCTTAAAAATTAAAGCCTTGAAGAAAATCCAACGTTGCGCCCATTTTGGTACATTAAAAAGACAACTTTCAAAATCTTCCAATTCCGTAGAAATTTTCAAGCCTGGGAGGGAAGCAGATGATGAGGAACATACATATACAGATCATGTTCCAAAAAATGCATTGAAAATGGCATACTTTGATGACCAGTTAATGACGCATGATCTACAATGGCCGTTAAAAAAAAAAAAAGTTTCTTATGTTCAAGATGTTTACAGTTCACATATAGATATGAAAAACCCAGAAGCAAAAATAAGAAAGAGTAAGAGAGGTTAACCTCAAGAAACTCCTGAGCATAAGCCTGGGCAAATTGAACCTTCATCTGGTCCATTAATTCATCTGTTGAAATTTGGGGCGATCCTGCTCCAGTTGAACCTGATGAGAAAGAATCCATTTTTTAGCTCTCCGTTCCTTCTTTCGGCTGTGAAACTCTCTCTACCCCAAAGCCAACCTTTGCAAAACTCAAAACAAAGAATACAAATATACAAACATAAACCCTAACCCTACAAGTAATCAGTCATAAGCAAATGGATCCAAGCCCCAGAAGAGTGGTTGGCCCACCTAATGGTCCAGTTGGTTGGGTCTTTCACAGCTTAGGATTATATCCGTTTGCGTTGGATTTAAACAAAGGCCCACTACTTATTACGGGCTTGTAAATTTAAGGTCAATTTCAATTGGATTTAGTTAATCATATTTATTCTGTGTTTTTTTTTAAGAAAAGGGAAATAAAATTTCTTGGTTGAGGAAATTTTATGATATTAAAAAGTAAGACTTCTTAATTGGAAGATCCATTTTTTAACTTAGCTGTATAAAAAGGATTGATTATATATATATATATATATTTACATAGTGTTGATTTTTTTTTTTTTTGGAGATGGGTGAAATGTTTTTTCAATATTTTTTTGATAGTGTAAAACTAGTTAGAGTTTAAAATTGAACTTAAAATTAAAGATTATAAAGTATAACTTATTTTATAAATATTTATTTAATATTTATAATTATACCCTATTTTATAATTTGAAGAGTAAAAAAAAAAATCTACGAAGGACAACCCACAACATCTTTGAAATTGATATATATATTTTTATGAGAAATTATTTTATTTTTTGTTAGTAAAGTTTTAAGACCCTACAAATAGAGATATTAGGATAATTAAGACACCTTAAAGTATACTTATAAATAGATAAAACTTAATTAAAAAATGAGACATATATTGACATCTTAACCTTACTTTGCGATAAGTTAAAAAATTTTCATGGAGGGTACATCAAAAACGAAATCTCTTTGTATGTAAACTCTCCTAGTTTCATTTCATCTTAACTTACATGTTTCAAATGGAAATCATTGAGTTGGAAATATACAAAATTTCATTTAAAAATATCATAAGTTTGATGTATGTGTGGAAACCATTTGTCCAATTTCTTCTCATTTCAATATTATTATTATTATTATTATTATTATTTCTTTGAAAACTTTTTTTATATGTTCTTTTCTTTCTGACATCTTTTCTTCATCTTCTACACAAAATCACAGTGCATTTCTTGCACTGAAAATTTATTTGCATTGTCTAACTTAACAGTATGAAATCTAGTTACGAAAAGTCACCGTACAAATCTTTATTTTTTCCATAAAGAATCCCACAAAAGTCTCAGACAATCTGAGATTTGTTTTTCAAATGGCTCTATAATAGAGCCAATCTCTGTAAGCAAAAAAAAAAAAAAAACACAAAAAGGCATTCAAGCACAAAAAAACAAAACAAAACACAAAATAACATATCCTCGTAAGAGGAACAAGTAGCAAACAAAAAAATTTTCAAAAACAAAAAAAAACCCCAAGAATGAAATTTTCGATCTAAAAGGTTTGAGTCTTTTTGTTTTTTGAAAAATCTGATTTTGAAAGAGTGTTTAGAAAATAAAAATGAGTGATATAAAATTTTTTGAGATTTTTAAAAATTTTTCTTAGGTCGCCAGAATCTAGAAAAATTTAAATTTTCTAATAACCATTTGAAGTTTCTGGCCACCGAAAGTTGGAAAACCTACCGGAATCTAGGTTGCATTTGAATTTTTTGATGTTGATTGAAGATTTCAACGACAACACGATAACGATCGATCAAAAACTGGGATTGCATGGTGGCCAACGAGGAAGGTATTTTTCAAAGAGAGAGGTTCTAGGTTTTTAGGGATAGAATGGAAAAAAAAAAATAGAAACAGACCTTTTATAGGTGTCACAAAACGACACCGTTTTAGGAGCTTTTGACCAATGAATCGACCTGTTGACTCGCGTGTGACCCACCAAGTGACTCGACCCTATTGGCAAGTTTTCCCTTTTTCCTTTTCTTTTTCTTTCCTATTTTCTATTTTATGTTGATTTTTTATTTTTATTTTTGTTGTTTTGATAATGATGATGATGATGATGATAATAATAATAATAATAATAATAATAATAATAATAATAATAATATTTTGATAATGATGATGATGATGATGATAATAATAATAATAATAATAATAATAATAATATTATTATTATTATTATTATTATTATTCATTTTTAGAAATGAGTAAAATAAAAAAGGTTAAAATAAAATGTAGATTTGATAAAATAAAAAAATAATATGCATATATCTAAAAAAATAAATAATCATAATTATTTAAGACAAATTGAAAAATTTTTTGAGCAAAATGTTGCTTAAATTTCACTAAAGTATTAGGATAATTTAAAAAATAATTTTTGCTAAAAAATAATAAAATAAAAAATAAAAACTAAGAAATTGTTTAAGTTAATATTTTAAATGTCATTTTCAAAGAAAATTTAAAAAGTTTGATTTTTTTTAATTATTGCAAGTAAAAATAAATTTTTAGATTTTTCCATAAAGTTAGGATAATATAAAATTATTTTAACTAGAATAAAGATTTATTTAAACAATAAAAAATAATATTAAAAATAAATAAAGTGCTTTTTTTAAATGAATCTTTTAATTATTAAAAAAATATTTTTAGATAATTTAAATAATAAATAGTAAATAATAGCAAAAAAAATTAAAATATCACAATAAAAATTAATTAATTAAATCCCTTAATTATCATTAAAAAATAATTTTATTTAGGATCTAGTCAGAATGTTGTAATGATTCTAAAATCTGTTTAAAACTTTTGGATTTCACCAAAGAATTAGGATAATCCTAAAATCTACTTAATAAATGTTGTGATCTTACCAAATAATCGAAATATATCTAAAATCATTTTAAATAAATAAATAAATAAAATTTTTCATGGTAAAATTTCGAGAATTTTGTAAATGATCAATTTTCTCAAAATATTTTCTAAATAAAGATTGTTTATAAATTCCCACAAAACGTTAGAGAATTTATAGAATATGAAATAATAATAATACTGATTTCATAAAAAAAATGTTTTTCATAAATAAATTTTAAGAAATTAAATTTAAATATACAAAAAACATATTATCCAGATTAAAGAATTACACATGTTTAATTGGTGCTGTTCTTTGACTGGGTGACATGAGGGTGCTAATACCTTTCTCACTCGTAATTGTACTCTTGGACCAAACCCTAATTGCACAAACCTAAACGTCTTTTAGTAAATGTTAATTAATTTTAAGATTTTTTTAAAAAATGATATTTTTGGGTGGCCAATCACACCCTACAAAAAAAATTGATGGTGACTCTAAAAAATTATCATCAAGTCTAACGATTGAGTCCCTTAGACGAATAATCGTTATGATAACTTGGTGACTCATCTAGGGACGCCAGAGAGTCAAGCCAAAATTGAAATAATTGTCATATAAACTTTGATTTTATGGTCTTTTCAATATTTAATTTTAATTTCTTATCTCATTTTAGAATAAAAATAAAATTAAAATAAAAAAGTTAAATTTTTTATGGTTTCATTTAGTTTTATTATGTTATTTTATTTGTCTTATATTATTGCTAATTATATTGTTTGATTTTATTTTAATTAATAATTGTTACATTCCCTCTCACACATGCACATTTGCATTTATGCATGAGCTCTATACCCCGACTCCCAAATCTATCCCTTTGTAGAAATAAGTAGAGTATCTACAATTTTGTGAAGTTATAATATCTCTACTTGGGCTATCAAAATACTTTCACTCAAGTTGAACCATTTTCATCGACAGCTCGTTATAAGTGAGGATAGGGTGCCTTACTAATACGAAGTGGATGACAGTGAAGATCAATTTGAAAACCTTTTTAGCCTTTGTTAAAAATCAAACCATGCATATAGTGTACCTTAAAAAACTAACCTCAAATAAATCATACCATTTTTGTAAATTATACCATAAATTAGGACACATGAGGAATATTTATTTTAATACAATTACTAACCTTAATTTGTTTTGCTGTCCTTTTGTTTTATGATCATGCATCATCATAAACAAATGTATATAGGATGTGCTTTTTAATGTGCCAATATCAGTTAGAAGATTTTCGATCTTGCTTTAGAAACATCACCATGATGTTTTCAGCTATTAAGCCCAATATGTGTGAAGAGACTAATGTGGTGATAACTCTATCATTAGAAGCCCAAAGCAGAATGGGAAACTATCTGAAGGAATCTAAACAGGAAATTTTACCTGAAAATATCAAACTAGGGCTTTAATAAAATGATATCTTTAAGTTAGTCGAGATTTGGCATTGTGTAACAACTCCTAGGAAGATAGCTTTTGAGAAAAAAATATGGTCATATTGCTTCACTCCTTAAAGTGCCTACAGAAAATCAGTTGCTAAAAACTCTAGTTCAATTTTGGACTTATAATTCAATGAGATAGACATGACCTTGATGATCGAAGAGTATACTATATTGCTATGGTTGTATCTTTCAAATCTAAATAAAATATATTAAAGAGGTCAAAAACTTAGATCTTGAAAAGAAACTTACTTGTATAATAGAGGTCCCCATTTAGAATGTGAACTTATATATCTAAACAAAAAGTAAAAGTGATTATATCTCGTGAAAAGTCTTGTATGATTATATTGTCAAACACTTAAGTGATGAACTAGGTATAAGAATGATAGCTTTAGCAATTTATGGCTTGATTATTTTCTCGAAGGTCTTGAGGCATATTGAGTTATTAGTAATTGACTTCCTCGAGCAAGTAGATAACAAAATCAATCTTGTTTCTTTTATATCAGTAGAAACTTTTAAATCATTAAATCATTGTCAAAAAAGAGAATGACGCTTCATAAGATGTGCATAGTTACTCTACATTTGGGAAAAAAGTCATCTTCAGCATCTTATAGGTAAATTTTATCCTATTTATAGTAATAAAAGTAGGCCAATTAAAGAATGCTATAATTTTGAATGGCCAAAATCAAAGTCTAAGGAAAAATAGGTATTGATTTTATAAAATCTCATAAGTACTCAAGTTATATAGAGAGCTTTATGGATGCCACAAGAAGCTATGTTGTACAAGTGTGGTAACAAGCCATGGGTACCATTCT